AAACTTCACGTTCTTAAGAACCGCACGTCATTAGAGAGTTTTTCACAAGCAAAAGTTGCAATAATGAACCGTGTTTGCTCACAGTACGTGCAACTAATTAGCAGTTCTGATGGCCTGTTCTCGGGGGTCCTTTTCCCAAGAAATGGCTAATGCAGCTTATTAATTTGAGGGACCATCAGCTTCTCTGATCAGCGTTATACATGACGCGCTCAAAACCCTTAACTTTTAACAAGCATCCGCGATCGACTTTCCATGAACCTCGCCATCATGTGATGACTTCTTGACCATATGTTGAAATCCCAGCCGAGATTTTCGCACAGCTTTTATTCAGCCAACGTTTCGGCTCAACCGCCTGGAAAATCGAAGCGAAGTGTGAACCACATTTGAACAAATTCCAACTTGGCAGCAATCTTTAAAGAATAGGGGCACCTAGAAGGGTTGTGTATCTAAAAGCTTCAGCTCACCTCATGGTGAGCAGGTATTTCATCTTCTTTGCTTTCGTTGGGGCCCTTAAAGGGCTAACAACTAATAGAGCTTACTCCGTCAAACTCCACGATAGTATTCGAAGCAGTCTTGATTCCCCTGTGAATCATCTAACAGTATCGCTTTACAAAGATGAGTTGGTTCACCTGGATTTTCGTCTACGTCACATGATATTGGTTGCCCAGGTTATAGTTTTCCTTGGCATACTCTCTACTTTTTTCAAGAAATGGCTAATGCACGTCTCTGTCGTGATTCTTACCGTTTAGTGCTGTGAGCAGGACATTGGTGCTTTGAGCAGAACGTCGTTCAGCGCGGTGAAAACCTCTAGATCTGCCCACCACATTGAGTGTTGGGGGTTTTGCGCCTGAGAGACACCGGATTCTTCATGCTCTGTAAATAGAACACTTGCATAAAAGTCTGGCTATCAGGTGGCAGCCGCAGCGACGTTCGCTGGACAAATCTTCGGGTTCACAGGATATCGGCTTTCAGAGAATAGCTAATCTACCCAAAATCATCATCCCGTTGACAAGACGGTAAGGGATAAAAAGGCTTCGCCGTTGGACAACGTCTTGGAATGCCACACATATTCTAGTCCATTAAGAAAGTCACTTACTGTGCACTGTGGCTGAAAACATTAAATTGTGTGGGTCAGCCGCATGGTCAGTGAACTCAAACTCCTAGACAAATCTGGCTTCCTCGGAGGCTGGAAGGCTTGGCTGCCTGGGTGGGAGGCGATCCGATTTTTGGACCTGGAACTGTGCGCGTGGTGCGTAACGCGTGTGACTTGCCACAGTACCTCGGCAATGCACGACATAGCTAATACGTGAGAATTCGGTAAACCCACGTTCAAACTTGGAACACTTTTCCTTTCCTGACTCATTCCTTTTTATTTTGATCTGAATCAGCCTCTTTGCACCCGATCTGATTCCTCTGAACAGAATCCTTCTGTTCTCTGTCTATTGCTCGAAAATCACTTGACGCTGCCATTAATCAGCGGAAGAGCAGGTGAGGTAACAGGCAATAGCAAGGGCTTGTTGATGTTGACGAGCTGTAGGAACCTACACCTTGTCACGGCCGTTTTGTGGCTCGTGATGACAAACAAAATAAGTTGTGTTAACGACGCTACTCATGATCAAGCGGTACCCCAAGTTTTTCGCACTGGTCAGTGACAAGGACGGAAAGTGGTGTCACACGGAATTACATGAGTATCCGGAACAAACTTGATTTGACATTAGAAACTGACGTATGCAGAGTCACTAACCAGTAGAGGGGTATCTGGCTGAATTCTTTAGCGTTGCAGCAAGGTTTATTTCATGCACTATACTTTCCACCTATACTACGGTATGTGACAAGAGAATCGTAATTCACCGCGCTAGTAGCGTCGCGTGCGACGTCGCGCCCGCAAATGACGATGGTTCCAGGTAGTAGGTAGCACAATGACGTAATCTAAGAACCGAACATACTCATAGAATGTTCACCGATTCGGGGTCCACATGAAGTCTGCTCTACATCGACAGGTTAAGCCCGAGTTTGAAAACGCCGTGTCATTTGCCGGCGCGCGGGCGCAGCGGCAACTTACGATACTCTTGCCCGTCTCCCCTGTACCATAATGTATCCACGGGATTACTGTCGAGCAACTAATCACTCAATCATTTTGACACTTAAGATTGTAGGATTTGATTTCGTTCCATGTGGCAAACATAATAATTTTGATAGTTTCTTTCTGAAAAAGGCCTGCTTAGTGTCACTACATTTTTCTTTCCCATGTAGGGTACTTTTCGAATGTTTTTCTGAGGGGCGACGGGAAAGACTAGCAGGAGCTGACGGTTCTCCATTTTTTCCTCCGTAAGTTTAGACGAATTGGCACAGTAAATTTTTGAGCTAATGCTGCATAATTTTTTATACTTGCATTAGAAGTCGTACGCTTGTGATTCGGTCAAATCAGTTTGCTAAAGTTGCCCTATGTCATCGTCAGTCTTAATCGTGATCATTTCAGATGAACAACAACAACAGCAACAAAAGCCGGAGGAACCCGCAGCGAAAACTACCGAGGCGAATGAAATTCTGCCCAAGCCAGATGACAAGCCTCAGGGACCGATCCTTCCGAAGCCAGAAGAGAAGCCTCTACAGCTGGCTACCGAGACAAATGAAATTGCGCCGAAGCCGGACGAGAAGCCTCAGGAACCGATCCCGCCAAAGGCGGAGGAAAAGCATCAGGAACCAACTGTGCCCAAGACGGAAAACAAGCCTCAGGAACCAGTCCCGTCCAGAGCGGACGACAAGCCCCAGGAACCAAGCGTGCCCAAGCCGGACGACAAGCCTCAGCAACCCAGCCAGAACGCAGTAGACTCACGGTAGACTAAGTACAACTGGAACTAAAACACGAAAATGAATCCGAGAAAATTTCAGGCCTCCAGTTTCTGATGAAAAGCCTGCAATTATCTTCGAGGATATCCACAAAACAATCGAGGATATCGATCAACTTCCTCCACCTCCAGAACTACCTACCGGAGGGTACGTTAGCCGTTTCGAATTGTTTCAAGCTTGCTAATTATTGCTTGAAAGCTGCACGGGACTTTTTCCCAAAACATTCCTATGAACTGCGTGCATAATTGAACAGCTGGAGATAGTTGTAGTTGTAAAGTTCGGCCATTCACCAGCTGACACCGCGGCCCACATGATAACATCCACCCACTCGTATCATTTCCCTCTCACACCAAAATACTGGCATGCGAGGGGAAACGCGATCTCTTACGCTTTCTTCAACACGAGAGGGGGAACACGGGTTCATTCGGATTATCACAGCGACGTTCCTCAATTTTCGAAGTGAAATTGATTGCAAGATGCGAGGGTTATTGGCTGAATCAATCAGAGTTCATAAATCCAGCCGCTGCTACTTTAAACTAATTGCTGTCCACTGTTTACTGGCACGAGCTTTCAAAATCAAGCCTGTTCTTTACCAGTTTTTCCTACAAGGGCAGGTTTAGCTGAAATTGGCGTTGCAAGGTAGTTTGAACTGCGTAGATAAAACTGCCTAGTGCCCGTGCCACAGGCGCCGACATCAGAACACCCTAAAATCTCTTGTTCGCAGAAAACTTGGATCCAGGAGTTAGCCTGCGCTCCTGAACACAAATAACACATTTGCATTTGCTTTTTTTAATCTGCGTGAAGTGAGTAGGTGGCACGCTGCTATCAAAGGGGTTTGAAAGTATCAAGAGAAGAGAAAGTGTTGAATGCATTACATTCTGGGGGCCTCCTTGAAACACTGCGACTGTAACTTCTGCTGTGAACGTACCATTCTGAAGCATTATTGAAAATTTTATCAAAACTTAAACTTTGATTTCCTTTGGATATAACAAAGCAAATGTTTCTTGCGAATTGCTAGTTTCAGAGACGCGTTCTTCAGGCTTGCACGGAATGTGGAAAGTGTTATCATCGGTGAAGGTATTGTGAAGTATGTAACTGGATCTTTGGTGCTGCCTGACAAAACGGTACCTTATTGGTCACAGGATTGAAGAGCAAAAGGTATCAGTGTTTCGACACAAGCCGGTAATGTTGTTAAAAAGTTTTTCAAATGCAAAAAGTGTTTAAACTCAGATTTTCTTGAAATGTTGTCTATGATTGCAAAAGTCAAGTGACTAGATTCTATCAATTTCAGATTAAAATCCATCCTGCGAGGAAACAAGAGTTCCAATTTACCCACAAGGAACACAGGCTGGTGAATTCTTCTACTTTTATTAAAGCGCTATAGAAAGTACTCTTTTGAAAAAAATTATGACGAGGTCTACCGACCCGGAGATGTGAAGGTTTGAGGATGGACTGTGCTTTGACAGACTTCAGCGAACTCTTGTAAACTTTTGGAATATTACGGTCTCCACCGCCATGCCATTTTTACCCAGCTTCTTTTACCCACCCCAGAGCTCTTTCTGCAACCCCATTAGGCGAAAAGTTTCATTCCCTAACACCAAATCAGCTTTATTCGCATAATCCTGAACCAGGCAGTCTGACGTCGATAAACAGCTTGGGGGACTCGTTACCGTGTTGTAAATAATTCCCTGTCACCTCACAACTCTCGTCATTTGCTGAGATTACAGCCCTAGTCATAAATGGCTCTGTGTTGATGAGATCGACTGAAACCTCCCCCCCCCCCTCAGTCCTTTGAAGCAGAAACTGCGAGAAATGTATAAGCATATTCTATCTGTAGTACCTTTGCGGCGCGTGAGCGGTCGGTTCTGTTCTGTCGCTACGTGATCAAGCTATATTGCCAAAGCCATACCTTTCGAGAGCCTTGAAAGCGACTTGGGCTTTATAAGGGCCTCTTATATTGAAAACTCATGAGGCTTTGATCGGTGCCGGCGAGTCGTTAAGGAGCATGACCAATTACTGCATCCGATACTACGTTAATATCCTCTAATAGGGTTTCTGATTAGATTCATCCCTCCTTGTAGTTAACATGTACTTGCTTTCAGTTTTTCTCTCTCTTTTTACGTTCTCAAAATGAACGAGTAGCACCATTAATTATAGAGCCCTCCCATAAACCTACCGTCCACAGTTTATAGTGGTCTTTTCAGATGCTTGTCGATATCGAGGAGGGGCAATCAAATTGGTGTCGATATATATTCAAATTTACTGTCGATCTTCAGTACGTTGCTAAGATTGAAGGTGGGTACGAATTCATTGGTACTTTCCCCTTTCACTACATAAAGGATGAGGATAAAGGATAAAGTCTTCGCCGTTGATCAATCCCTTTGTGGGATGCGGCACGCATTCTACTTCCATTCAGAATCGTAGTGGCTTATTGAATGCGATGTGGCCTATACAATGACTTGCGGTGGCCAGCCGATGTACAAGTCAGTGTTTTATCCTCCCAGACGAATCTGGTACCAATTTACCGTCCCCGGAGGGTAGAAGGCTTGGTTGGCCTGGCGGAAAGTCGACCCGGGATTTGAACCAGGACCGCGCGAGTGGTGAGCGCGCCACTTGTCACTACACACCTCCTGCCCTTTATCCCTTATCCTTTTATTACATACTTATACAAAACTCTGCCCAGAATTTCATGATTGATCCCTTAAAAAAGGGTGCTACGGCGAAGAATCCAGAAACCTCAATCATTTCTTCTAAAAATGTGCCTGCAGAGGTTACTTGATGGCTTACTTATGGAAAAGACAGACGCTCTCGGGTGCTGGCATCTTTAGCGCCGATAGAGTACCACAATGTTTTCCACTAACATCGATATGAAATTGCGATCTGGGGTTATTTGATGTTATCACTACGACTATGACACTTATTTTTGGTACCGGGGTCGTTTGACTCCAGTTTGCTCTAGCGAAATCGACATAAACTCATACCTGAGAGCGATCGAGGATCCTGTTCCCGTTTATAACGTTCAATGTTGGTCCGAGGTAACAAATGTATGTCATTCTCGATGACCATCGACTTTCCACAAATGGAAATTTATACCGATTTTGGTGAGATCATCATTGCTTTAGGCTTTTCCGCTGAATTCTTGATCATGTTCTGGGCCTGATACAAAACATATTGAGTGCTAACTTTGTCCGATGTCTAAAAATGTGTTTACTTCAATGTAACTCGTTTCATCCCTTCAAAGATTTTGGCAGTACCCTTTTCTTTTAGATGTTTTCTTTGCATACATGGTCAAATGGCTTAGTCATTGTCAGAACCAAATCTCGTATCAAATCTCACTTGGGGTAACTGAATCTTCTACCCTTCCGGACCTAAACTCTAGTTCGCTGCGGACGGTTGGGCGTGTCAGCCAGTATGAGTGTGTCACCCCGTCTCTGCCTTCTTGTTGAAACGCGCATGCGACAAAAAGTGGTAGAAAACGAGTAATACGAAGGATATGATACAGTATTGTCACTTGCCCGCTTCAACAACTGGTGGAGAACGAGTTTGGCACCGCGCCAAACGCAGCCGCACTGACACGCCCAACCGTCCGCAGCGAACTACAGTATATGTACTCGATACCAGAATTGCCTAGCATAAAAGAAACATGATTCCTCCCCCTGCCAGCGCAATGTCATGCTGGGCTACAGAAGCCAACCTGCTCATGAAGATACCATCTCAAGAAAGAATTGATCACGGCAAGGATTCTTCAACTGTGAATCATCGACCGCTTTCGCATTCCTTTCAGGCCCAAAATGGATGAAGGAATAGACAGTGATCAGGTTGAACGGCTTCAGCATTGCTCATACAGATTAATCGTATCTCTCGCCGTTGTGGGAGAGGTGGTATCTAAAAAACAATAATTCCTTTTACCCAGACCCTTAGAATTCCTTAAGATCCGGAGCGAGCAGGAGTATCCGTTCAAGCGACTGCAGAACAAAGTCAGGGGTTTGCCTACTTATACAGTCAATCTTAACTGCCTCGTTACTGTTGTTCTCTCGACCATGTGCTTTAGCTAACAGTACTTGCATCTCAGACGCTGGACAGCGTCAGGGAGAAGGGGGCTATGCACGGCACGACTCCAGCCTGTTTTTCACCAAATGTTGTCGCTTGCCCGCTTCAACAATGGTGTAGAACGGGTTGCCGTCACGCGAAGCTCAGCCTCGTTGACAAGTCCCAGAGTCAGTAGAGAAAAACGTGTCACTGTCTAAAGCTGACTAGGACATGAAGTTTCTTAGATATTTCTCGTCCCTATACAGCTCACTGCCGGTGGGACAGTAGACCGAAACTACCATCGTCTTCTGAGAGTTACACTGACATGCTCGCGTTCGCCGTCGTCGGCCCCATTACTCAAGTACTCGTCGTGGAAGGTGAGCGATATTAAAAAAGCATTACATGAATTGGTTTTTTAGTTTTTCAAAATGACGCAGGACTTCCCAAGGGCACGTTCCGCGATCACTAACGACAAACGAAGCCTTGCATGGGGAAAAGCCATGGGCCACACATCGTTCTTGGGGAATCCCCAACAGGGGACTTACTTCGTCGCCGGGAGAGGGTGTCGCATTTGAGCTGAGAAAAATTTATTTTAATAGTTGATTTTTCTCACTTCACGCACGTTGTAGGGGGGGGGTCGTATTTGCTCATTGTTGAGTAGGAGGGGGAGGGTTGCATTTACTTTCTGGGCTTCTAGGAGTGCTGGGAGTACTGGTTGACTTCATTTGATTTTCCTCTTTCGTATGCACTATTCCCCCCCCCCCGCTCGACAGCAAAATTTTTGGGTAAAAGTAGGGAAATTTTCGGGAAATTCCGGAAAAAATGGTAGGAAGATAGAGAAAATCTAGGAAACGGGTAAATGGTAGAGGAGTCGTATTTTCCTCGAGGCCTTTCCCGTTTCACATGCGCTACTATTTACCCCCCCCCCCTGCCCTGCTCTCCCCGCCGCTTGACGGCTCGATTTGATGAGAAGGGACAGAGGGCTGGGGGGTGGTCGTATCAACCCTAAAAAAGGGGGGAGGCCTTACAGATTCTACCAAGATCCCCAACCAATGATGTGTCCTGGTGTGGGCAACCTTGTACCAGTTTCGCGTCAGGAACCTGAATTCCATTTCGCTACTTGTCTCTACACCTACACTAAATACAAATATTTTTACTACCACTACATCGCTTTTTCCAATTGACTTCTACTGAAGAGTTTACCATTTTTCTAGCATATTGTCAGAGTTTCATTTGCAGGTAACAAAAATTACGTGTTGATGTTCTCGGTGCGCGATTCAGAAGTGGTCGATCGCCGTCGCATAGCTCTCTGTCAGAGACCAGGAGCGTTGGCTAGAGACGAAGCAGGTGCGGCGGGTTTCAAGAGTTTTCGCTTTTCATCATTGCCTATGCTTTCGCCCTCCAAGAAGGGTTTTACTGTCCAGCTATTTGAAAGAGAGAGAG